TGGCGCGGCATGGGAGTGCTGCGTGGCCGAGCAGCTGTCATGGCGGGCGCGGGGGCCAAATGGGCCGCAGCCCGTGTTTTTGATGGGGGACTCTGTCTGGCTTCTTCCCCGGCATCCCTGTGGGTGGTATCACCTGGCAGGGGTCGTGCGGGTGAATGGTTGCCCGCGGTGTCGGGCTGTGCCTCACTCCGGGGAGCCGGAAGGTACCTCCAGTGTAGGAGCCCCCAGCCCTGTCCTGTCCAAGGGCAACAGAAGCTTTCTGGAAAACAGGAGTGAGCACAGGCCTGCGTTTCCCAGGGTTTTCAAAGGGAGGCCAGTTTTTGGTAGAAATGCACAACTCATGGGCCAAAGGCTAAAAAGCGCAGCCTGCCTTACTCCGAAAGAAGCCTCCAGAGGCCTTTTTGCTGAGGCATACTCCTCTGACTCGTTTGGTATTTGTTAAAGCAAGAGGCTGTATCCAGTCAGGTTGGCAGGGAAATCTAAAGCAGAAGGCGTAAGTGGTGGTTGAGCACACCAGAGCTGCTAACGCAGGCTACATGATCATACAGGATACCCAAATTAAACACTCAATAACTGAATTGAAAATGCTGAAGTCTGTGTTACTGCCCATAAGTCTGTCCAGTTACTATCCAGTTTCCTTGGCTCCTTTTGTTAATCTGAAACATCCTTGAGTAACAGAAGATCAGTAATTGAGCCCAGGAAGGTATTTATTCTCCAAACTTGGACATCATTATTGTCTTCCAGTAAGCTGAACAGGAGAAGTATTAACACGGGAGAAAGCAAAGTGAGAAGCTGGTTAAACTTGCAAAACTCTTATCAGAGCATAGGCGTCATTGAAAGTCCATACTGTTCATAGGAATCGGAGCTTTGCAATTGTTTCTACCTTAAATGGTGAAAAGAAGCAATAGTTACATGATTTGTTTTACTCTAGGTAGGCATCAAACTCACAGGTCTGAATTGCTCTGCCTTCCTTTTCCTTTTCCCACATTCCCCTGATGACATGGAAACTTAATTTTCTAACTTTGGTTCTTGCACTGCCCTTCAGAGGCTATCATCTGTTGCAGATGGTGGAAAATCCCCACTAAATCTTACATACTATTATTCTGTGTCCTAGAACAAAGTAGGAAAAAAGGTTGTAGAGAGGGTTTGGGTTTTTTCTGCTTTCAAAACCAGATGAGTGGTCACAGGAGTACTGGGAGAAAATAGCTAATCTTGCATAATACATACGCAAAAAGGTTTCTGGCAAGCACTCACTGGTAGCACGTAAAAAGCAGAGGAAGCTATGATCGGCGAGATGCCTGTGTCATCATGTCTGTTGTTTCTTTCCCTTGCTATGCCAGCCAGGATAGATCTGGCTGTATAACTATGAACTTGCTGCAGTGCCTTTCAAATAAACTTGTGTTAGCTGGGAGAATGAAATCATAGAACTGCAGCATTAAAGGACAGAATAATCTCAGAGTGTTCTTCTGAAGCACGCAGTTAATGACTTACTGTTTGTGTGTTTGTTTTTGCTACTGCTCCCGGCCTGCTGTGTTCCCTGGGTTATAAATAGCTGTTCACTTTCTAGTGAAACTACACATGTGCACTGCCTAGTTACACTATATATTGGAATGACCAGACGAAAAATTTCCAAGACTCATATTAAATGAAATAGGATATTCCTGGGTAGCTTTTATTTTGTAGACATGGAACCTCCGGAGATTTTGCGTCTGGGAAGGATCATATCACAGCATCTGGTACTTAGCTGTGAATTAGAATTGAGTGTTGAAAAATGACCAGGTACAATGTGAAAATATTTTACAGTGATAGCAGTTGGAGTGACAAACTTTTTAAAGTATAATCTTACAGGTTTTGTTTACTAGGCAGATGTGAACTCTGCAAATAGCTGTGCCGGCAGAAGTCATTGATCATTAACCAGTCCTCAGCTGCACATCGCTACTCCTTGCAGAGGGTTTCTGTCTCCTATCTAAGCATTTCTTCATGTACCCCATTGCAACTAAAGGCATTAGGTTATCAAACATGAACTGCATAAGCTGATACAGCTCATTTTGTCTGAAATGGGTTAAAAAGCACCTGTGTGAGACTTCATGGGGCTAACCTCGGGCAAGAGGCTGGAGGCAGGCAGCTGGAGACAGCACCTTCCACCATTATGGCTGGGTCCACCCACGGCCCTGGTGCAAGGACAGCCTGGGTTTCCTTCAGAGAGCTGTTGTTAGTTGTGAGACACTATCAATCAATATGATCATAGCTAAATTTGTTTCCCAATTAACTCTAAGTTTTCTTTGCTGTGAATATATCGTGTTCTTGTTCAGAAAGTCAGGACTGACTGCAGTGAGTTGTATTTTAAGTCAGCTGCTGAATCCTATCTGCTACTCCACTGAATCTGGAAGGTGAATTTAATTTTTCCTAGATCTGGATTTCCCAGCTCTATCTGATACCCTTCTTTGGCAGTAGGACATGGAAAGTTCTACCTTGTAACTTATTAGTGTCTGAGTTGGAGTCCTAATGACAATAACAACAGCTACACCACCACACTGAGGAAATTGCCTGTGAGGAAGGGAGAGGGATCTGCATATTCCTTCTCCCAGGCAGACTGCTACTAACACTTATGGTCTAATGAACAATTGGCTCAGACACTTTTTGGGCCCGTTATATACACAGAAATGTGTTCTGCGATCACTCCATCCCAGTGCGAGCACCTCAGTGCTCCAGTACCTTTTCTTTTCCTGTCCTCAGCATTAAATGCATATAATTCATTTGGCTGTGAGACATTACTAGTTCCTGTCTTAATGGATATGGCAGAAAGCAAACAAATAACTCTGAGGGCAGCAAAATTAATGAAGGCTGGTTTTCTGTAGATTTGTGTCTCCCTGCTGATTATCTTTTATTAAATAGCAGAAGACTACAGTGTAAGCATGCCTTTTATTAGGTGCCAGAGAATAAAGAGAGGGACATTATAAATATCCCAGGTGGGGGAAGGAGGTAATGTCTAATTGGCTTTCCAGATTCATTGGACATGAGAGAGGAGCAGGGTATTCCGGTGTCTAGTAAGGTGTTTCAATGTAAAACGTTGATCATAATGCTTTCCCCACTATTTATTGAACACATATAATTTACATGTCCCTTTTCCAGGTTAAGTAAGGTGGCCTGTTTACCTAGGTAAGGCCAGTTGATTTTGTCAGTAGGTAAGACGATGCATCATGATTACCAAGTCCCTCTTAGTCCCTACCTACTATCCCTCCTGCCTCCCTTGCTTCCAAGAAGAATCCATTTCCCTAGATCATGACAACCCGCAAATGTAATTTATTTACAGTCAAATTAATTTTATGCAATAGTTCA